GCCCTTAACCATGACATTATTTTCGTTGCTACTTCATAACTGTAATTTTGCTACTTTATGAATCATAATGTAAATAGCTGATATGCAGGATGTATTAGGCACCCCTCTGAAAGGGTCGTTCGACCCCCAAAGGGGTCGCGACCTACAGGTTGAGAAGTGCTGTAGGACAACGCAGAACATGCCCCATAAGATTTCCAAGATGGCAATATTTGTGGAAGCAGACTGTCCCAGCTTCTTCCTTCAGAGTTGCTGGTGGGTTCAAACTGCCAACTAACCACTGTGTAACAAGTTTCCTTGAGTGACAACGCCATTGTATGCAACACATGGTAAAGTTATGAGCCCAGAAGGAAAGGGATATTGTGCCTGATAGGAATATATCTTTTCATAGGTTGGTAATAAGCCCTTGTGTAAGTAACTCTAAGGTAGACATTGATAGCAGATGCAAGAATATAATTAAAGCTCTAAAAAAAGCAGAGGAAGAAAAGTCTTGCCTCTGGTGAGGAAATTCAGGGAGAACTATTGGCATTTAAATTAGGAAGAGCAGTAAGGGAGCAAAGCTGGTCAAGCCATAAAGGATGGATTGGAAGAAGGAGGGAAAAGAACAAACTGGGAAGTTCCTACAACCGGCTAGGCAGACATCTGAAATGAGGTTTGCATGAAAGAAGAATTAAAAAGCAGACACTATATTTTACACACACACACACACACACAGACACACACACACACAGCCTTTTCTCTCTCTTCTCCCCACCCCAATCCCCGCCCTACTGAATATAATTAGGAAGTCATTCAGATGGTAATTTGAGAGAAGGAATTCCAATGAGCGGGTCTTTTCAGATGGTAATGTATTAGAGAAGCAAGGGTTTCACAAACAAATTTCTTTAAAAAATAGCCTTTGGCATCACTTTGCTTTGTGTCTCCTTTTTAAAGGATTAAGTTCATTAATTAGTAGGTTTTATCTAAGATTATACTTATAAGCTATAAAGTATTTCTGTCTTCTCATTATTAATTATATCTTCTGGCTAGTACAAATAAATCTGCTAGTTACTCTTAGCAATCCTACGAAACGATAAAAGACAGCATTTGGAAAGTCTTTCGTGGGGCGAGGGTAACATTTGTAGGGTGATGTGATCATTTCCCCTTTTAAAAAGCCGTCTCCACTCTCCTTTTACTGTGCAGGCTCTTGAGGCCCGGGCAGTCAGACTCTATGGGGAAATGCCTGAGCCAAGGCTGAAAGTTCTAACAAGAAATAAAATCCCTAAATTAAAATGCTTAATTGATTTTTAAAATCAACTTCTATTTAAATAGTTTAGAAATTCCAGGCATTATCCTGAGTATGTTTGTGTAATTTATAGAAAAAAAAAGAGTGAAAAAAAATAAAAGAAAAAGAGTGATTAAAAAAAATGAGGCAAATGTGATAGTCTGCTTCCATTGGCATCTCAATTGCATGTCTTCAAAGTCGCCGTTACTATTTTACCTTTTAAAATTGATAGCTCAGGTGAGAATAAGATTTGCTTATAAATACAGATTTGATCTACATGCAGCCACCCCCAAAACTCCAATGCACGAACCAGGAAACCATTTCACATTTCCAGCAAACCCACTAAGCAGTAATGATTTAATCAAAATGCATGTATTCTGAGAGCTCTCCAAAGTAATTTTAATGCTGATTTGTGCAAGAGGCAGATCAGGAGACACATTTGCTGAGTGACATTTACCTTATTTACAAGAAAATAACAAACAGCCTTATCATTGTCATCTTTGCTGTTGCCACCCAAGAACCACATTCAAATAATCTCCTGTGAAAAACGACTCAGAGGCAGTATGATGCTTAGGGTCAGGTCTTGATGGTCCTTCAGAAAATGTCTAATGAATACAGAGAACTATATCCCTCATACTTAACTGGTATCTGAAGTTATACCGTCTGACATAACCAAATGTTAGATAACATGAAAACTAGATAAAGCAAAGCTTAGCAGAGAAACTTCTTCTTCAACAAAATGAGGAGCATTTTCATGCAGCAAACTCTCTCACCAACCACATGTGCTCACACATCTGTCAGGATCATATTCAAGATTAAAAACTTGCCATAATAAAATCATAACAGATTTTCAATCTCCTAGTTGTCCTTGAAAATCAATTTATGTCATTCTCTATGAAGCAGGAACAAACACACTAAGTTATTTCTACTTATACATATCTCTACTAGAGTATCAGTAAACATTATTTGGTCTATGTAAATATACGTATTTACTGATTTTTTTTTAATGTAAGATTATTTTAACCCCAAATTGGGATGTTGTATTAGAGTCTAATTTATTTTTTAGGAATATAATATTGACAGATGTATAATGATTTAAATAAATGTTTTTGGTTTCCGGTTTGGTAATAGTGAGATAGCATATTTCACCACTTGTGGTAAAGGCTGTGAAATGTCTCTCCCAAGTACAGTTTTACTCAATGCTGGTCACTTTCTTCCTCTAGTTGGGGTTTTACATGGAGATCCGAAGACAGCTGGGAATCTATCTTTTCTTCCTATTGGGAAGCAGCTCAAGAGCTGCAATGGCGGACTCTACAGGCAGCAGCAGCCTGCCCCTCAACCATCGGAGCCCTGGGCTGCCACACTATGCCACCGTTGAATGCCATAGTCCAGTGTGACCTCAGTGTGAACGTGTGATGCATGGCTCTGCTAACATGGACAGTCTCAGACAGACAAAGGTCAAAATGAACAAAATCTAACAGACTTTTCAATCTGAAAGGTAGCTACATTTAGGGACCAGTGGGGCTGTCTCCCCAATGCCTGCAAAGGGGTTGGAAAGAGATCAGGCACACTAATTGACCATTGGAACCAGGCATGTGCAAACTAAACCCCCTGGCACAGCGAAAACCCCAAACCTAGCCTCCACCTAGGACCACTGTCCATGACATCTCCCAGATGCGTTTAACACAGCCAATAAGATCAGCTCATACTTTCAATCATGCCTCCCCAGCCAGAGGTATTATATGCCAACCCCACCCCCTCACCTCTCCCGACCCCACACCCCACTTCTTGGCTGCAGGAAGGCCAGGTCTCTTTATTTTAACAGCCCTAGCTCAGCAGCAGGCTGTAAGGAGGGCCTCCAGCATGCTTGAGAGCTCCCTTGCTGGGCCTGCACCAGGCCTGTCCTCTTGGTCTCCTGGCCTCTTGGCTTCTGGGCAGTTCCCCATTTACACCTGTGTGTGTAATATGCTCCCAGTTTCTGTATTCTTCCCACGTGGTTTTTCTCATCCCCTTGTTTTGAGACTGTAAAACCTGAAACTTTCCCTTTCCTTTTTAAAAGCTCGCTTGGATTACAAAACATGCTTCTTCCTTGTGAATCCTTTCAGCGCAGTAAAGCAAGAACAGAGGTATGAACTACCCGGAAACCTAACAAATTCACCTTCAAAGCAAGCCTAAACCTTTGATCTCTGCATCTTCTATCCCATGATCCCAGAACATTTCCTGAAATGTCATAGTACTTTCAACACGAAGCATGTATCTATTATACAGCCCTCGTCAGGAAGATCCTCTCAATATGGCAGATGGCAACAGTTATTCGGAAGTGTTTTCATATCAGTTTTATGAAATGTTCTAAGGCAAGATCTGTTTGGAAGTTAAGAAACAAAACTTCATCCTATATATCAATGAATAGTTTCTGCAAACCATCACGGCTGCTGATAGAGGGAGTGAAATGCTAGGAAAAGAACATAATCTAAGCGTGGGTTTGTTTAATGCCCAAAATGTAACAAGACTCCTCCCTTGCAGTAAAACTTCCTTTATGCTTCATAAGTAGAGATGTTCTGACTCAGGAAGGAGCTCCAACAGGCGGGAAGATTAAGTAGCCATACAGGGAAACATCCCCATCCAGTGGCCTCTGGAGTGGTGGGCTGGTAAGGCAGGGCATGCAAGCATCCTCCCAATTTAGAGAAAGAAGGGTACAGGAAACTTCTGAGGCTGGTGGTCTAACAGCTCCTGGAGAAATGTAGCTATAGATAATTCCCTAAGGATCATTGCGAAACTAGCCTTCTTAGGGTATCAAGTGACATTGTATCCTGTGACATTGTAAAAACCTACTAATCCCTTCCTGTAATTACTGTGAAAAAAACAACAAAAACTGTTTTGGTTACATAGTTTAAGGTATGTCACTTGCTTGATTTTAACTGGATTTTTGAAACAGTTTGGAGGATGAAAACCTACTGTTTCCTACTGTCTGCATTTAGGATTTCTTGAATCAACGTGGGCTCCGTTTTTTAGCTAAAACTGGGCTGGGCTTGCCCGGGCCATTGTTTCCCAGCATCATGGCTACCTAGGTTAGACCCTTTCAGAGAAGTCATGCTGTGAGGTGGGTGCTGTTTCACTGCCAGACTGATTTTTACCACCATGATAGGGGTAGAGACTGCATACATATATGGGAGGGTACTTGCAGGGCAAAGTTCAACATATTTGTTTTTTAAGTGAAATGCAGCTATGCAAATAAAGATATGTAAAGAGCAAGAGAGAAAGGGGAAACAACAACAACAAATCCAAACCATGAGACCTATCTCTACCTACTGAAATCGCAGCCCGCAAGTTACAATATCATGAAATTAAATACTATGCTATTTGTATAGAATAATATGAACTTTCTTCCAGATCCTGAAGGGAAATGATCATGTGTAGAAAAGTTATTTTTGACAAGGTGACCATTAGGAACTTAAAAAAAAAAACGACAATAAAACATGAAACCCAAGAATCACCATCATGACCCAATTCAAGAATGATTGGCTTGATTAACATCACAGCAGTATTTCAAATTGTCATTCTGGTAGAAACAACCACTTAGGACCACAGTATTTCAAATTGCTGTTTTGGTAGAAACAACCACTTAGGACTGCAGCAGTTCGGCTTATTCCCAAATCCAAGGGCGCCAGAGGTCAGAGTCTGGCTATCAAACAAGTGGAGACAGTTGTGAGCAGCCACCCGCACCCAGAGCGGTACTCACGGTCGTTGCAGAGCGGCCCGCTGAAGGAGGTCATGCTGCAGTCACAGGTGAAGCCATCCCACTGCTGCAAGCACACTCCTTGGTTAGAACACGAGTCCTCTTGGCAGGTTGTGCTGGGCCCTGGAAAATATTTCAAAAACAGTTTGGGTCTTTCAATAAAAATCCAAACGTGTTTTGTACAAGGGCTAAATCACCTATAGTAGTTGCCAACACCTCAGATGATAAGACCTCGCTAGATGTGTAAGCTCTAGCTCACACTCCGGAATCGCAAACAGAGAGACTGTAATGTGAAGGTTTCCCGAAGTTGCAAATAGAGGACAAAATTCATTGTAATGATGAGCTCAGCAAACAAATAGTAAAAGCAAGTACAACGCTTCAGTGCGATCATGGAAGCAGGTGATCTCATCTCATTCCATCCTCATTAAGTCTCTAGGTATTCATTAGATTTCAGAAAATGCAGGAATCTCCTTAATTTCTGACCAATGAATAGAGACACTGTGAAAAATGGAGATATTAGCTTCATGAAATTGAGATAAAGATTGGGAAAACAATAACCAAAGAAAATTAGGCAAATCTTCCCAAGAGGTTCCAGGAGTTTAGCTGTGGGAACTGCGGATAAAGTTATGATTGGTGGATGATCTGGGTAGGTATGTTGGCAAGTATCAATTCGCATGCTTTAACAATCTCATGCATATTAAACAAACAATGTAAAACATGGCTTCAATGACATGCCCCATTTAACATACAAGTAAAAAGAATTCTAGTCTATTGCTAAAGAATCAAAACTAGAACACTGAATAACAAAGAACAAAAAATTAAAGCATAATCAAAGCACTAAAGCCAACCACTATACAAACATATTCAAGACTGAAAGCCTTTACACCACCTATGCTACCAAATGAGGCTTCTTGCACAATGGTCCAGGATGAAAAAAAAAAAAGAAAAAAAAGAAATCTGAACCCAAGCGACAGTTATTGCCAAAGTGTTAAAACAACAACATTATTTTGGGGTTCCCACTGTGAGTCATGGGGTTTCAGTCTTGTTTTATACACACAGGGCTATCTACCTTGCAAGTCAGCTTTCATCAATGCAACTTTGTCAGCAAAATATAAAATAAAAAAAAGCAAAATATATTCAATGTTAGTAAGCAATACTGAAATGAGGCAAACACAGAAGAATGCTCAGATTCAAAAAGCATGCTGCTGTAAAGGGGGAGAGGAATGCTATGTCGAGCAAATAAATTAATACTAACAGCCATGAATCTTAAGGGAAGTCCAAATGTGAGAAAATGAACCTTTTGGCATTTTAGTATATATATACACACACACGTGTGTGTGTGTGTATATCAAGGTTAATTCAGTCAAATAGATAAAACAAAAGGAAATTAAGAGGGTGTTAGTATTATTTCCTACCTTGGATAGATAGATAAAAGTGCATTACCAAAGCGACTATGTTGCTCATTGGAAACATGTGCCATCATTTTTCAAGTGCACATACAGTGTCTGTTATGGTGATTAGCAGACCAATTATCTCTTTCCATTCCCCCCACTTCTAGAGCTATTAGCTTGCCTTGGCCATTGAGTTTAGGCATCAGTGCTGACAGCAGGGCCTTAGAACCTCACCGCTCTGTGAAAATGTGTGTGTGTGTGTGTGTGTGTGTGTGTGTGAAGTAATCTGCAGTACAATCCACTATCAAGAAAATGTCTTTACAAGATTTCAAGGTGGCGTGTTCATCCTTGTCTGTACCGGGTTGACTATAGCTCACTTAAATATTTCTGGGTTACTTTTCTTTTTCAACACCTTCTTAATTGTCTTCTACTCTTATAAATTGCCCTATGAATAATTTTTAGAGAGAAATTATATGAATTATTATAGAGAAGCCTCATAATTAAGGACTACTTTACATAAGTATAAAAAGATCACAGGCCACCTACATATATTAAAGAATAAATTAGAGCTATTTTCTAGTAAATACATTTTTATAGATTTTATTAAAATATGAAAAATAGACACTGGCCTAATTAAGTGCTTTTAACAGTGAGAGCATTTGAGCTATTTGCTTTAGTGAATAAATCAGAATTATCTGTAATTAGTCTATCTGTGGATAAATTGATGTGTTGGCAAAATGGATTTTTAAGCATATACTTACAATCACATTTCTATTTTCTTGATAAAGGCTATATTCATAGTGCTCAAGAAAATTTAGATTAAAATATGTGAAAATTCAGAAACCACAATATTGAAAATACAAGCAGGTTTCTAAAAGTTTACAGAAAAATGCCATTATCATTTAATTCCACGTTTCCAAAAACTTTTATAGCTCCCTTGTATATCTCCTTGACTCATCAGTTAGTTTGTCATACTGTAGCAGTTTGTGTGTTGCTGTGATGATGGAAGCTACGCCACCAATCGTTCCACCACCAGCAGGGTTACCCAAACAGATAGCTTTCACTGGGGCTTCTAGAATGACACAAACTAGGGAGAAATGACTACAAGAAAGCAAAAGAGACCTTTATGACTGATAGAATGTATCAAATGCAGGAATAGGAAAAATTAACATGGTGAAAAATTTTTATGTTACCCTAAGTGGCCTAGAGAGAGAAAGAAACCCTGATCTTGACCCCATTTCTGAGCTTCAAAAAAATGGAAAAAAGTAATCACCAACCTACCTTACATGGAAAGAAAAAAGGATGCCAAATAAGTAAAGCACTACTAAATGGGAAGAACAAAAGAGGGGGGGCTCACATTTCTCAATCCAAAAAACGTAATGTCGCATACAAAAGCCAATGCAATAGAACTGAGAGACCAGACATAAATCTACCCACCTATAGACAGCTAGTCTTTGAAAAGGGGGCAAATACACTAACTGGGGAGCAGATGCTTTCATTGGCAATTAATGCTGTCAAGACAGGGTATTCGTTTGCAGAAAAAATGAAACAGGATCCATATTTCTCACCAGATACAAAAAGTAATTCAAGATGGAAAAGATCTAAGCTGGATTAGAAGAAGCAAGGGGATATAGTGAAATGTGTACGACCTGGAGTTACAAAACCAAAATGAGAGAATAAGCTCAGCATTTTTTAAATGGAAAGAAGTAAAGATAAAAATTCAGACCTTGAGTTGTGATATTGAAGGATTCTCTGAGGAAAAGAGCAAGTATCAAAAGAAGATAGAAGGAATGCACAGAGTCACTGTACCAAAAAGAATTGATTGACATTCAACCTTTTCAAGAAGTAGCATACATGCAAGAACCCACTGAGTTGAAGAACGAAGTTAAAGCTGTACTGAAGGCACTGGTAGAAAGCTATGTTCCAGGTATTAATGGAATACCAACTGAGTTGTTTCAATAAATACAAACATGCTAGAAGCCACTCATCTGTCCATGCCAAGGCATTTGGAAGACAGCTACTTGGCCACCTGACTGGAAGATAGTCATATGTGTGCCTATTACAAAGACAGGGGATCCAATAGAATGAGGGAGGTATCAAATAATATCATTATTGAATAGAAGTAAAATTTTTGGCTGGAGATAATTCAGTAAATATTGAAGCAGTACAAGGAACTGTCAGAAATCCAAGTTGAAAGCAAAGCATGCCAGAAATATGTTTTTACCTGTGTTTTATTCACTATGTAGAAGCAATGAACTAAGGATTATAACAAATTGTGGGTAATAATGCAAATAAAGGGAGTTCCAGAACAACTATTGTGCTCATTTTGAACCTAGACAGGGACCTCAAGGCAGTTGTTCATTCAGAACAGGAAGATGCGATGTGAGTTCAAAATTCGAAAAGAGTGCCTCTGGGTTGTATCATTGTTATGTGAATCCAACCGTCTAAGAAGTTGGATCATATGAAGAAAATGCAGCATCAGGCAAGGAGGAAGACTTAATAAGAATGCGCCCTGTGGTTGCTACGAGCCAGCATTGACTCCATCACAATGGTTTGAGTTTTGAGTCTATGTAGCTGAACATACGTTGCTTCCTGAAATGGAAAGAGTACATGTAACATCTTCTGATGAGATCAAGGATCACATCCAGTGGTATGGATTATTCCTCAACATAAATAAAATAAAAATGGTCACAACTGGACCAATAAGTAACCAAATAGAAATCAAAGACTTAAGCCTGACAAGAGTGCTAATATTCTCCCTTGGTATGTCAAAGAGAGAAGAGATCAAAGGCGTCAAGGATCTTGTGTACTTGAATCCACAATCACTACTCACCTCCCCCCAAAAAAACAGGAGTTAAAAAACCAAATGATTTACTGCATTGGATAAGTCTCTTGTACAAGATCTTTAACATGTTTTAAGAAAGGAAGAAAAGAAAGGAAGGAAGGAAGAAAGAACGATGCCGCTGTCTTACATGGATGCCAAAGAGACAATGACTTCAGGAGAATTGATGATGGATGCCTTTCAATTATGATGTAGAAGAACATTCAGTCTACAATGGGTTGCTCAAAGAACAAACAAGTCTGTCTGAGAAGAAGTACCCAGAATACTTCTTGGTCACAAGGCTGGTAAGACTTCCATATCGTGTATTTGGATACACTATCACGAATGACTGACTGCCATTCAGCGAATTCCTACCCATCACGACCCTGTAGGGCAGGGAGGAAATGCCCTTGAGGGCTTCTTAGATGGTAACATTTTATGGGAGTAGAATGCCTTATCTTTTTCCAGCAGAATAGCTGGTGGTTTCCAATTGCTCTCCTTGAGGCACCACCAGGGATCCTGTCTGGGGAGAGGAGCCTCTGGGAAAGGGCATCCCTCTTGGTACAGTGGGTCAGCGACAAAGAAGACGACTCTCAAGGAGATGTATTGACAGTGGCTGAACTCAAATACAACAATTGTGTGATGGCCCTGGATCTGGCAGTGTTAATGAGTTGGAACCTACTCAATAGCATCGAGCCACAACAACAACATTAAAAACAAAAGCAAACAAAAAACCTTAACTTCATTCTTATCATAGCAAGAAGTCCCTGAGAGACTTGAATAGACGAGGTATTGCTTTCTCTACAAGTACATCAAAGAAGTAAGAATCAATGTATCGCTGTGTTTGTTGTTGTTGTTGATGTTGTTTTTAATGTTCCAGTCTGTAGTAGTAAATGGTCTACTGATCTTTATTTCATGAAATTAATTAAACACTGAAAAATAACTAGTACTTGGGAAAAGAAAGGAAAATGTCCAAGAACAACATTCTTTCGCATCTTTCTTCCTGGGCTAATCCACAGGCGGTCAGGGGCTGTTAAATCAAGAGGTTCAGAAAGAGAGGGGATCAAGAATTGAGTAGGGCCCAGAGTTTTGTTTTTTATTGTGTGTGTGTCAAAATTATTAGAAATACCATAGATAAGGAACATTATCTTCTAAAAATAATCAAATAGTATTCCT